ATATTGTGTAGAGGGCGCTCTTTTCCATTCTTTTGTTGTTTTTTTTTTTTTTTCCGACAGTCTTAAAAGGAAGGAAGGGCACAGTGAATTAGTGATAGCAGTGAGAGTCTGACGCTGCCTGAGAGTTTTTGTGTTCAACCTTCTTGTGATAAAAAGGGACATTACCCTGTCGTGTTCTTTGTGATATTCTCTGTAATTATTACTGTGATTAAACTGGTAAATTGAACTGACAATGTTATTTATTTATACTGCTTCCATTGTCTCAACACAGTAATATAGTCAATGCATTACTATGTAGGAGTGTTCAGTGGTGTTACTGCAGCAGCAGTCAAGGTACATTTAAATTTATTAGACTACCTATGTGAGCCTGGTTCCACATTAACCCCTTGGGCTGTTCTGACTCTCACTGGATATCCAGTGGAGCATTCTTATGTACAGTGCATGATTTGTGCATGTTTGTAGGAACTGTATGAGTACCATCTGCCACACCAATCAATGAAACAATTGGGAGGACTCATTTTGTTCAGAATGAGTCTTTGTGCAGTCTTGCAAAAAAAAATTGACACTTTATTAATAAAAGAATTGAAACAACGGTGGTACTTTAAATTCCGCTCTTATGGGGTTAACGCAGTCTATTTGAATGCCGAATTGAGGGGTTAATTTCTTCACTTTGACATCTTGTCTTGCAGGATATGATTGGAACAAAGGAATCAATTATAAGGCACTTCTTGAAACATATCGTTTCTCTGGATTTCAAGCAACGAATTTTGGCTTAGCAGTAGAAGAAGTGAATAAAATGGTATGTAGCAACATACTTAATAGACTTAATTTGATTTGTTATACCATTTTCAGTTATTATTGACTTAATTGTCATTTATTTTATTATTTACTCTAAATGGTCAAGCTGTCCTGTCGTGCCAAGCCATTACCTGAAGACTTGGAAGATGTGTTAGAGGAAGATGAATTTATCCAACGAAATAGCAGCTGCACAATCTTCTTAGGCTTCACTTCTAACATGGTTTCTGCTGGAGTTCGTGATACTATTCGCTTCCTTGTTCAGCATCGCATGGTGAGAGTGCTTATGGTTATATTATTTCAGAAAATGGAGTAAAATCACATGTCAGCGTTCAGAGAACCAATTTCATTTCTTTATTTTATTATATGAAAATTCTCTATTGAAAGTTTATGTATGCCTATACACTGTATTTATCTGCATATGTTGAAAGAATATTTAGCTCCTAACATGTATAAAAACTGTAATTACAAGATTGGTTGGTTTATTGAATTTTTGGGACGGCATATGTTGATGTATTTCACTGATTATTTCTACATGTGTGTTACCATAAGCAATAGTAGTGGTTCAGTTTAAACATTAGCTTTCCAGTTTGATTCATAATAATTTAAAATTTAAACAATGTGTAAGATTCTGTCTACACTAAATATGTTTGGCATGCTGAATTATGAAATATTCAGAATGTGATTTTTTCTTTACATCTTTAACTTAACCTATTCACTTTATCCTGAAGCAAGCTGTCACACTGTTCATTTATGTGCCCTTTATGTCCTATATTTTAATACATTTAGCACAGCAAGGGACATCTAATTTTAACATACTTATTGTAGTAAGAGTAGCAAAGGGATAAGAACCAGTACAGACTTTTAGTTTCTGGAGTGACACCTTGACATGCTCCCGGAAATACAATTTTGGTTTGTGTTGTTACTACAAGCAAAGGGAATGCTAAAAAGGTAAAGTTGTCCCTGTGTTTAACTATTTAACTACTACACCATGAAAGTGTATGTATAGATGTATGTATGGATGTATAAATTCACATTTTCTTAACCTCAGCACTAGTTGTAGGTGAGTGATCAGCTTCACACCCCTGCCGCTTTACCCCCAGGGAAAGAGCGCCCAGTACCCATTGGATAGGAGGTTGGGTGGACCCCAGAGCCGGTCTGGATGCGTTGGAGAAGAGAAAATTCTTGCCCCTACCAGAACTCCAACTCCATCTCCTCAGTCGTTCAGTCCCTATACCACCTACACTGCGGCTCCTCAAGTGAATGGTAACTTTATAGAAGCTTTTGTGACGGTTGTTACTGATAGAATAGAAGCTGTGAAGGACTGTTTTTGATTCTGTTTTGAAGGTAGACTGTATTGTAACTACAGCAGGAGGTGTAGAAGAGGATTTGATAAAATGTCTTGCACCAACATACATCGGTGATTTCCATTTGGAAGGTTGCAAATTAAGAGAAAAAGGAATTAACCGAATTGGAAACTTACTCGTACCTAATGAAAACTACTGCCTTTTTGAAGACTGGGTCATGCCGCATTTAGATGCTATGTTGAAGGAACAGAAAGAAAAGGTAATCTTTTCCAGTACCATTTGGCAAGTATGCATTGACTTAGACTGACATACAAACAAAATTCTAAAGTTATCAGTATTCCAGTTTATTGTACAGGGTTATTCAAAAAGAATGAACCAATTTTATTATGCAATATTTTATTAAAAGAAAGTAATACAAAACTCCAGCCAAGTCACAAGTATACTACTCACAATCAACTTTTATTTCCTGTCTTACAAGTGTTCAATGTGGCCACCATCTACAGCATGGGCAACTTCAGTGCAATAAGAGAATTCCTCCCAGGCGCGTATCAGCATGTCACGATGCACTGAGTTAATCGCTGTTGTTATTCGATGTTTAAAGTCATCAAGGTTAGTGGGTAGCGGTGGAACATAAACATGATCTTTTACATATCCCCACAAGAAGAAATCACACATGGTGAGGTCTGGGGATCTCACAGGCCAAGCACACAGAGCAAAGTCTTTGGCCCCCTTCCGACCAATCCATCGCTGGGGCACTTTTTCATTTAAAAAAGCTCGGACCATCAGGTGCCAATGGGGCGGTGCTCCATCTTGTTGAAAAATGAAGTCATGCGAATCTGCTTGCAGTGAAGTGAAGAGCCAGTTTTGGAGCATATCGAGATAGGTTTGTCCTGTAACGGTGTTGCCTTCAAAGAAAAAAGGACCATAAACCTTGTCCTGAGACACAGCACAGAAGACGTTCACCTTAGGGGAATCTCTTTCGTGCTCAACTGTTTCATGTGGGTGCTCTCTTCCCCAAATACGCACATTGTGACGATTGACTGTGCCGCTCAAGTGAAAAGTCTCTTCATCACTAAAAATTGAACGTGAAATGAAGGTTTCGTCTTCCATCATCTCCAGCATCGAATCGCAAAATTCCATCCACTTCCTTTTGTCGTCATTGGTAAGTGCCTGAACGAGCTGCAGTCTGCATGGTTTCAAATGTAGACGTACTGTTAGCACACGTCAGACAGTGGATTGAGGGATCGCAAGCTCACGGCTAGCTTGATTTGTTGACTTCCGCGGGCTCCTCTCAAACTCAGCACAGATTCTCACCACTTGTTCCTCCAAGACTTTTGGTCATCCTGGACTTTTTCCTTTACACAGACACCCACTCTCTTGAAACTGTCAAAACCACTGTCGAATGTTCTTAGGACAGGGCAGATTAATGCCGAATCACCTTCGAAAAGCACGCTGCACCATGACAACCGAATTTGTTTTCACGAACTCGAGAACACAGAACACCTTTTGCTGAGGACTCACCATTCTGAGAGTAAACGAACAACTGAACGTTGCCGGAAGAACGATGTGACTTCAGCAACCCTGTGGCAGCCATTCACAACTTAGATAACTCCTCTTTCAAATGGTCACTGACTCATTCCATGATGATGCTTGAGAACTGAAACAATGCGTCATGAAATCAGTTCGTTCTTTTTGAATAACCCTGTATTTTACAGTAATCAGTTCTTTGAGGCTGGACATTCCATATATGGCAACAGAAGATGCAAACTGGGAAGCCTTTCCTTATTACCTAATCTGTTTCCATCACAGGATCTAACTAACATGTCACCTTCCTCATTCCTGGTCACCATCTTTTATCTCTAGAATGGTCTTGCAGTTTGAGGAAGAATTTATATTTCTTGTTGCCCTTATTGGCTCATTGCCTACAATAAAAATGTGAACCTTTTCAAAATGAAGGCTACATTGGAAAATATGAAGTTGTTGACCAGTTTGAAGTTTTGTTTTTCCAATTGATACAGTTAAGTTACTGGTATGTAAAAGTAGTTACTATAGAGGGTAACATAAGAAAGATATAATGGGACAGTCTACAGAACAATAATTCTGAAGAAGACGAAATAGATACTACTGTATCAACATTCGTTTTATTAACTGTTGGTGCTAATGCTACATGTTTTGACCCTTTTCTTGGGTACAAGAACACTGGTACTATGTGGTGCAATCAAAAAGTTCCTGAAATTTGAATTTTGCGCGCGAATGGTTATGAGTACATCGAAATACTAGGTCGTTCAAATATGACCGGGACTGATTTTTTTTTTTTTTGTAAACAAGCCGCCCTGCGCAGCAGCTGTGCGACCTTGAGAGATTGTAGCCACAACCTCCACTCTCCCTCCTGTTTGGGTTAGAAGCTGTTCAGTGCTGTCTGGGAGTTGCTAGAGGGATGAGCGTACAGAAGGTACCGCGGAGCATGGAACAACGCATTGTGATCAAATTCCTCATTGGAGAAAACGTCCCATCCGCTGAAATTCACCACAGACTCCAACAACAGTATTGGGAAGAGTGTCTCTCACGGACCCATGTGTTTGAGTGGTGTAAGTGCTTCAGAGAGGGCAGAGAGCGCGTGGAGAATGAACCGCATGATCGTCAGCCATGAACATCCGTCACCGAGCCAAACATTGATGTGCAGACGCGCTTATTCGTGAGAATAGGCGCATCACTATCAAGGAACTTGGATCAATGCTGTCCATCAGTGTTGGTAGTGTAGAAGACGTGAAATATCACCTGCACTATCGCAAGGTGAATGCACCGTGGGTACCACGTACTTTGACAGACGTGAACAAAATGGTGCGCATGCAAGTTGCCAGTCGTCTCCTACAGCAGTTTGAAGACGAAGGTGATGCATTTTTGAAGTCTATAGTGACCACCGATGAAACATGGGTGCACTACTTCATTCCCGAGTCCCAGCAATCATCATGCAAGTGGCGGCATACCAGTTCTCCCAAACCCAAGAGAGCGCGGAGGAGCCGTTCGGCAGGAAAAGTGATGGCAACGTTCTTCTGGGACTGGCAGGGGTTATCCATGTAGACTTTCTGACAGATGCCAGGACAGTCAATGCAGCTTATTACTCAGACCTCCTGGCAACAGACGTGAAGGAAAAGATCCGATCCAAGCGGAAGAGAGGTGGAAAGTTGGTAGCCTTCCTTCAAGACAATGCACGCCCCCATACAGCCAAAACAACAATGGAAACCCTCCAGAAATTGAAATGGAACCTTCTGACACATCCACCGTACAGTTCCAATTTAGCACCAAGTGATGTCTACCTGTTCGGAAGGCTCAAATCAGACTTGCAAGGCATGCGGTTTGTGGACAACGACGCCGTCATCCAGAATGTTCGGGAGTGGATACGCCGCCAACCACAAGACTTTTTTGAAAAGGGCATCAGGATGCTTCCAGAACGTTGGAAAAAATGTGTTGACTCCAGAGGGGAGTGCGTTGAAGACTGACATGTGCAAGTAAGTGTTTGGCAATTTTGGTTTTAAAAAAAAATCAGTCCCGGTCATATTTGAACCACCTTGTACCACTATGTGTCTCCCCATACACCCTTTTTGAATCAGTGTAGCAAGCAGCATCGAGTTGAGTGGTTGGGTTTGTTGTTGGTGAACGTATTTCCATTATTGTGTTTCCGTGAGTTTGAAGTTTTGCAATGGCTGACCTAAGAGAGCAGTGTGTCTATATAAAGTTTTGTTTTAAACTTGGGAAAACCACTGCAGAAATGCACCAAATGTTGAAGCAAGCTTTTGGTGACAACAGTTTAGGCCAGACACAAACTTATGACTGGTATAAGCGTTTCAAAAATGGCTGAACATCGACTGATGATGACGATCATTCGGGATGGCTGTCAACTGGTACCACACCAGAAAATGTCACGAAAGTTAGGGATCTGATTCTGCAAGATCGTAGACTGACCATCGAAGACCCCTGTAACACTTTGGGACAAAGTTATGGTACATGTCAACGAATTTTGTCAGAGGAACTGAACATGAGGAGGATTGCAGCAAAATTTGTGCCACGACTGCTGCAAAATGAACAGAAGCAGTATCACTTGGAAGTCTGCAGGGAACTTCAACAACAGCTTCAACAGGATCCAAACTTTCTTTCAAAGATTGTCACTGGTGACAAAAGTTGTGTTTATGGCTACGACCCTGAAAGTAAGCAGCAATCTTTGCAATGGAAGAGCCCTTCTTCACCTCAGCCAAAAAAAAGCTTTACAAGTCAAGAGCAACATTAAGTCTATGTTGATCTGTTTTTTTTTATATTGACGGGATTGTTTATAAGGAGTTCGTCCCTCCTGGTCAGACAGTCAATAAAGAATTCTGTCACGATATTCTAAGGCGTTTGAGGGAGGACATGAGGAGAAAACGTCCAGAGAAGTGGCGCACGAACGACTGGGTACTCCACCATGACAATGCATGACAGCACACGGCTTACACTGGGCAGGAATTTTTTTCTAAAAACAAGATGGCAGTTGTTCCCCACCCACCGTACTCACCAGACTTAGCTCCATGTGACTTCTTTCTCTTCCCCAAGATGAACATCGAGCTGAAGGGGTGAAGATTTGATACAGTTGAGGAAATTCAAGCAAAAATGCAGACGGTACTAAACACCCTAACAAAGAAAGACTTCCAGAATGCATTTCAAAAGTGGCAGAAACGCTGGGATCAGTGTATGCGCTCCCAAGGGGACTACTTTGAAGGTGATGGTGCAGAATAAGATCCAGGTAAGACAATAGTTTTATTAATATATTTTGGGAACTTTTAGATAGCATCACGTAGTTCTTCAATTGTGCCATAGTTCAATATGGATGACACAATTCAAGAACTAGTACCAGTATTCTTGTACACCTGAAGATAACCCAGGAAAAGGGTCGAAACATGTAGTGTTACCACCAACAGCTAATAAAATGAATGTTGATACAGTAGTATCTATTTTGTCTTTTTCAGAATTATTGTTGTGTAGACTGTCCCATTATATATCTTTCATATGACACGCAACAGGATGCATACTATAAAAGAGGATAACATAGTTCAAAGCAAATATATGGCACATTTGTCTTGTTCCTCACATGCAAAAAAATGAAGAATGGATATGTATGAAAATAACCAAACCAGTCGCAAAGAGACTTAAAGGATAGTATGTATATAACACTTGAATATTTTGAAACTTTCTATACAGGTAAATGGATTCATTTTTAATAATTCAGTTTTTATTTTGTGATTTTAGCCAGAAATGTTTAAATATTAATTATTTTCTGATGCTAAGCATCTTAAAGTACTTTGAAATTTTATCCCAACTGTGTTCAGGAAGAACTAATTAAATGTCTTGTATTCTGAGAATGGAGGTACTACCCTGATCGCTGTCCTGGAGAGATGTAAGGCCACGTGGAACTGAGGTAGTTGTTCTTGCCAAATCTCGACTGAGATACTACCCAGTTGCAATTCTGGTGCTAACCTGTTTTGGAAGTGTTTTCTGTCTATCCTTGGGTATGTGAGAATTTACATTATTTACATGTATCACGTTTTCAGACTGAATGTTGCAGTTAAGTGGCTAGCACTCCTGTTTCTTAATTGAGAGGACCCGAGTTCAGTTCTTGACCTGGAGACAATCTGTTGAATCAGGTTGTGGTATTCTTCAGTCCCTCCTAGCAAATGTTGAGGTAGTAAAATAGATTATGACCACTTCCTTCAACATCCTTTCCCATTTACAACCATCTCACCATTTAACAATTTAATCTAAACAGATGAAATGTGTCATTAAATAGCTGAAATATCAGTCATCCTAATCACCATCGTCACTGCTTCAGGGGACACTCTGGACTCCATCAAAAATCATTGCCAGGTTAGGAGAAGAGATTAATGATCCAAGTTCCATTTATTACTGGGCTGCAAAAAATAAAATTCCTGTGTTCAGTCCAGCCCTTACAGATGGTAGTCTTGGAGATATGATGTATTTCCACTCATATCGCAACCCAGGACTGGTGCTTGACATTATTCAAGGTAAGGTAAATTGCTGGTTTGTATCTCTGACATGTGGTCTGTATACTTGAAGGGCTTCTGGGCTTAGACCTGAACATTTTCAAATATTCTGAAAGTTAAATAAAAAATAAGTAAGTTATAGTTATTTGAAACATAAATGTGGTTGTAAATTGAGGGAAAAGGGACACAGAAGAAATATTGGCAGAATGTTGTACTTTGAAAGTCCATAATTACTGGAAATTATACATCAGTTACCTTTTTCTTTTTTAAGGATCTCCAGTAAGTATGTGAGATTTGAGATTCTAACAGTAATGACTGTGAAAATTGTTGTCATTACAGTAACTGCTGCCTCCATCTTCAGTGTAGAAATCTTGGCTAAACATAAAATTGATAGAGATGGAAGGAAAAGGTGAACTGAAATTAGGATTCTTCCTATGGGTCCATTCAGAGCCCCACCTCTCTTTCCCTTATATTCATACCAAATTTTTGTGCACTTGACTTTTACTAGTACCCTGAAGATGGAAGCAGCAGGTTCTCTGAAATGTTGGTAACTTTCTACCACTCAACACAGCATCACATTCCAGAAGACTGTCGTGTGCAAGAAATATGTTACAAATGTTGGGCCTGAAGATATGAATGAGAATATAATATTTTGAAGTTGCATTGTTCATGTGTTTGTTTTTTACAGACCTTCGCCGTTTGAATACAATGGCAGTGAAAGCTGCACATACAGGAATGGTTATAATTGGTGGTGGAGTAATAAAGCATCACATCTGTAATGCAAATCTAATGGTAAGCTGTAGTGTATAGTCTTTTGTGTATAATGCTATGTAGTTCAGAAAAGCCCTACATTTCAAAGAAAACACTGTCTCCATCTTCAGAGTTGAAGAATATTGCTAGTGGGGTGGGACTAAGTCCCTTGTACTGCGGCCACTTCTGGCCTATTGTACCAGCCCCAGATGATAGGTGAGGGTGATTGTGGAGCAATTGATGGAATGAAGATTGGCAGGGGAAACTGAAGTACTCAGAGAAAACCTGCCCCAGCAACACTTTGTCCACCACAAATCCCATTTGACCAGACCTGGGATCGAACCCGGCCCGGGGCGGTGGGAAGCCAGCAACCAACCACTTGAGCTATGGCGCCGCCTTGAGTTGAAGAATAAGCCAAGCAAGAAACAGTAGAAGTAGGTGGCAAACTCCTGCTTCTGCTGGTTTCTTGCATGGCTTACTGTTCAGTCCTAAAGATGGAAGCGATGTTTTCATCTAAAATGCTGGGCTCCCCTGGACTACATGGCGTTATGACCCAGGAGACCATACTCTTTGCAGTCATTGCCATGAGAACCTTAAGTCCAACATAATGGTAAGCTATCTGCAGGTATATATATATTCAGCATTGTTTCAGGGCATAGCCATGCTTGTAGTCAGGATTTTTGGCTATACTCAAAATTGGAATTAATATTATAAATTAATGTCATATTGTCCAAATTGTCAACAACTCAGGTGTCAAGCTTACTCAGGGTGCACAAGAACCTGATGGTTTTAAAGAGTATATAAAGCAGTGAAATTTTGTTTTAATTTCTAATTTATTGTTACAAAAAGATTGAACATTGAAAACCATATTATTCGACTTACATTTCGTTATATCTCTGTGTATTTTGTTTGAACAGCACGTCAGTAATCTGTTGCTCATCATTCCATATGCCTCTTTCAGCCTTGTTCATAGGTTTCCCAGTGCTTACCTCTCCATGTTTTCTGGTATTGCTGAAATTTGCTTCCGAATTGTGGTTAATGGTTCGTGATGTAGTGGTCTACACTTTCGCTTTGAGGTTCTCCTAAAGGAAATAATCACAGGCAGAGGGATCAGGTGAATGTACAGGCTATAAAGCTCACCACGCAGTGATATAACATGTTCTAGAAACATTTCCTGAATAACATCCATGGGTGCTTTCGCTGTATGGGCAGTTACACCATCTTGCTGGAACTGTAACTGCATGCCTATCATTGTTTTGAAAGAATTAAGGACCTATGAGCCTGAAGTTTGCCACTCCACGTCAGACAGTCGCATATGAACTGTGAGGAGGCCATTGATAGAGCTTCTTTGGATTTTCCTCTGCCCAGCAGTGAAAAATCTGTTTATTGACACAACAAGATAAGTGGAAATGTCCTTCATCTGTCATAAGGATAATGACCTTTGGACAAAGTTCCAATTAAATGCTATGGTTTGCAGTGTCATGATCTCTTAACTCTTGCACCACTACCATTTTGTGTGGTTGGAAATTTAGATCCTTGTGTAAAATTCTCCTCACACTGTGATTAGATATTCCTAGAGTAACAGACTGTCTCCTAGCTGAATGCCTAGTACTTCTTATGAATGATTCCCTCGCAGCCTCAGTGTCCTGTAGCAATCACACTGTGCGTACACTGCCTTTTGGTTTCTATTTTAATGCAGAAGCACTCATTCTGAAGTTTTCTACCCAACTGTGTGGTATTGTGGTAAGGAACTTTTCCATGACGAGCAATTTTTTTAAGTGCTTGCGAAATATTCAGTGCATTTTAACAGTAACTATTTAAAAAAAAAAATGTTTCAGTAACACACAATGTTGTTCACATCACTGCTCCATGGCTACTGCAGTGGCATCAGTTAAGCTAGCAAATGACATGGTTCCCACCATCTCATCCTCAGTGGTTGCCAACACATTCTAAAAATCATCAGGTTCCTTTTGCTGCACCTTGTACCATAGCCCATGTATAACTCTTTGTCTGTGGCTGACATCAGTTTATATATACTTGGGCTTAAAGAGAACTCTTGCCTTATTTCTCAATTAAATATAATATTTACTTGCTGGAAATATTTGTCTGGGCTTTACAGAGAAATGGAGCTGATTATGCAGTTTTCATCAACACAGCATCAGAGTTTGATGGCAGTGATAGTGGAGCCCGTCCAGATGAGGCTGTGTCATGGGGAAAGATCAAGAAGGATGCTTCCCCAGTGAAGGTGTATAAGAGTCCTAATCTTATAAATAATTTTTTATTTCTCATGGGTTGATACTGAGTCTGCTTGATACTGCAACCACTGTTTGGCCAGTTGTGCTAGCCCTAGGTGATAGATGATGATGATTGTGGAGCAATCAGTGGAATGCAAATTGACAAGGGGAACCTAAGTACTTGGAGAAAACCTGCCCCAGTGCCACTTTGTCCACCACAAATCCTACATAACCTGACTTGGGCTCGAACCCAGGCCCCTGTGGTGGGAAGCCAGCAACTAACCACCTGAGCTGTGGCACGGCCAATTATAAATAGTTACCGTGCAATCTTTGCATGAACTGCATGAATTTGAAAATATGTGTTTTATCTCTCCAGTTATCAGTGGATTTTGAAGAATTGGATCTAAACGTTTCTGAAAGTAGCGTATTAATACAATGATAAACTTTATACTCTCTGGGCAGTATCCATCATCATAATTGTATTTTAGATGAAGGTGTAGGTAGATCTTCGTAAGTTAACATTAATGAGCTTAGACACAATTTGATGCATGGTTTACTGTAAAAATCAAAATTAGGCCAAGATGCATATGAAGGAGGCCATAAAAATATGTGCAAAAGAAGGTAAAGTTTAGTGGATTGAACCTAACATCTTCAGGAAGCACAGTGTGTCAGCCCACAAGTCTGGTAGCACATCTGATCAGCAGTGAAACTTTGGTATTGCGCTCATCATAAAGAGAAAGCGGGTTACCCTGCCATTGTTGAATGATTTTGCAAAGGGTACTGGTAAGGTATTCTAGAACATAAATAATCTACTGCTCATTGTAGTGTATTGGATAAATGATTAGACAAAACAATTCATTAAAGCTTTCTGACTTTTGAATGGCCCAAAATACAAGTTAAAAAAGTTGTTATACATCATAATCAGAAACCATCAGACCCAGTTCATTAAATATCATGACTTAACATTCTGCTAAAATCACAGGGATATGATGTTTTGCAGGGAATAAGACTCATTGCAACAGTGACTTAATGCTCAGAAATCATGGGATTGTGTTATTGACTGATTAGTTGATTCTTAGTTTTTGTAATGATTGTTTTTTATTGGATAGGTTATAAGGCATTGAATGGTATGTTGATGGTGACTGCCAAATTGAGAAGGATTTGGAAAGATGTGATTGTGCCTTATGTTAGAGTATTTACCTGGAAAAGCTGAGGAATTTCATGAAAAATCTGTTGGAATAGTCATTTTTGACCAAGATTTGAAACTTTGGCATATCAAATCCCAAGCAGGAGCACTAATCATCTGCAACATGTCACACTTTATGGAACCATGCAACTACCAAGATGCCCCTTTGAGTAAGGTATTACACCTCTCCTAAAGTGTTGGATTGTTGTGGGACCTTTATGGGGAGTTCATAAAATAGATCGCTGATGGTCAAGGTGCATGGACTGGTGAAGGCCCACCGACACTTTATTCATTTAATCATTTCATCATCAAAGGGTTGGTGTGGTGATCATTTGTCTCTATTAAAGTGTGGTTCTATTTCCATTGTCTGCCAGGTAGTCCCTTACATCACATTTTACCTCCTTCCACAACAAGGATTCAGGTTTGGATTTTGGCAAATACATGATCATTAAGGAGGCCAAGGGCTAGGTGGTGAACATGTTTTCGCAAATACGAGGCACAGTTATCAAAGGACAGAGAAAAATAGAGGAGGCTTCCTTTATAAAGCCGCCCCACTTGATGGAAATGCCAGTGAATGGTTTTGCTGGTGATTATGATGTTTTATTTCTAAGGTAGATTTTAACAAGTATTTTGTCTTCTTTCTTTCAGATATATGCTGAAGCAACTTTAGTATTTCCTCTATTAGTAGGAGAAACATTTGCTAAGCGATATCATGCTACAAAGGTGAAAGCTGAATCAGATGTATAAGCTGTACAATCCTTGAATTTTATTTAAAACTGTGTGTGCGCATGTGTTGAGTCAGAACATACAGAAATAAAATACAGTTGACTTGTATTTGAACAAGGACTCATTAAAGTTTGCAACGTTGTGTTTCTCATGGAAACAGATAATAAAGACACACATTGTATAAAGTTGTTCATTTTTACACACCACAAGTCCTTACAATATTACAGTATAATTTCTTATTTTAGTATTACAAGTACAGTCTTAGCATATAATGTATTAACCATGCAAAGGTTATGCATTGTGTTGTAACAAAATTGGTTACAGAATGATGAAATGAATGTTTGTGTTGTGAGTGTTGTGTTATTTTAATCAAAACACTACAAGAAATCCTATTTTCTGTTATTTAATCAATGCAGATGAACATCAGTAGAAGTCCAAGAGTAAGCCAACAATTCAGTCAAATGGAATTCCCACAATCTTGCTTACATATTAAAGGTAAAGTCCCTGTGCCTAACTAATTAAACACTACACCATGAAGGCGTATGGGGGAATGGATATATAGATCCACATTTTCTTGACCTCTGCACTATCTGGAAGTGAGTGGTCAGCTTCAAGCCCTGGCAGCTTTACTCTTGGAGAAAGAGCCCCTGGTACCGATTGGCTAGGAGGCTGTGTGGACTCGCTTATATATTATAATTTTTTAAATAAAATGATAGTATATTTGGGGTCCCCCTAGAGCAAGGGTCTGGGCCAAATGGCCCTGCTGCCCCCCTATATGGTTATGATTATTTGCAGGAAAGTGTGATGTTGTACATCTCAAGTGAGACAGATGTCTTCAAGAAAGACAGTACATTGAAATATGACAACAGGGATGACACTCAGTGGTACAGGGTATTTCACAGAAAACTGATACATAAACACCAGTTTAAAATTTACCTGATTTTATAGAACTGAAAGGTTCATTACTGTATTCACAAAAGTCCATCATCCAGTTTGATCCAATTTACTCCATATCTTATTTCCCTAAGATCCATTCTGATAAAGGACTTGCAAGCACAGAAATATTCAAACTCAACTAACTTCATGGAGCTGAGCTCTTCTTGAGAAGCAGCCAATTGTGTGGCTCCTCAAGAACTTCCCAGCAATTTATGGAACCTGAAGGTTCATTACCTTGTTCACAAGAGCCCTCTATTGGTCTCTATCCTGAACCAGATTGCTCCTGTCCACACCACCCCATCATATCTCTAAGATCCATTTAATAATATTTACCCACCTACATCTTGGGCTTCCTGGTGATATCCTATCTGCATTCCTCTTCTCACCCCATTCATACTACCTGTCCTGCCCATCTCATCTTCCTTGACTTACTCATTCTAATTATACTTTATGAAGAGTCCAAGATATGAAGCTCCTCATTATGCAGTACTCTCCAACCTCCTGTAACATCATCTCTCTTTGATCCAAATACTCTCTTCAGTACCCTGTTCTCAAACACCCTCAGTCTTTGTAAGTTTTGAGGTTTTCACGGCGATGACAATGAAGAAAGTCGTCTTCTGGGTTTAGGCACCGTGTATTCTTCGTTTTGGCCGACGTTTCGGAGGAATGTAGCGCCTCCATCTTCAGAGCAGTTGAATGGCTGTAGCTGTGAAGTAGCTGTGCTACTGCTCTCCGCATTCCAAGCCATTCAACTGCTCTGAAGATGGAGGCGCTACGTTCCTCCGAAACGTCGGCCAAAACGAAGAATACACAGTGCCTAAACCCAGAAGACGACTTTCTTCACCCTCAGTCTTTGTTTGTCCCTTAATGTCAGAGACCAAGTTTAACACTCGTACAGAATCACAGGAAAAATTATAGTTTTGTATATTCGAATTTTTTGTTTCTAGACAGCAGACAAGAAGGAAGAAGTTTCTCTATGAAATTGTAGCAAGCATACCTCAATTCACTCTCTTCTTAATTTCCTCCTACATCAAATTTTGATTTGTTACTGTCAGTCCCAAATATTTGAACTGTGCTACATTGTAAAAACATTTGTTAGCTGTCTATATGTCATGATTTTTTCTTGCATTCTGGTGACAAGAGACAACGTGTATTTTTGTTTTCTCTGCATTTACTTCTAGACCAACCCCCTTACTAGTGTCAGTCATAGTTTTCTGTTTTTTTTCTTTGTGATATCAATAATTTTGTCTTCATACATTCCCTCTTTTTATTCCTGAAATGCCTGCTGGCATCATGACTTATGTTGTTCCGATTATCCCCATTTACTTTTCTTGGATCCTATAACCACTGCAATTTGGCTTGTTTCCTTTGATCTAATAATTTTGAGCATCGTTTGTTAAACCATGGCTTATGCTTTTTCAGTTCATAATAACCTAAACTCTCTTTGGCTGAAATTTCTATATTCTATTAGCTTTCCATGCTCTATTAATATCCACCTCAGCATCTAAGTTTTCCAAAGCTGCAAACCTGTTTGAGATTTCAGTGCCATACCACTGTTTACCCTCTACCTCCTTTAATTTCTTGAGATTGAACCTCTCAATATGTAATCTGTGCATTGTTTGTTTACTCACTGCCAGTCTCTCACTGACTTTTGCCAGCACCAGGTAGTGGTCAGTAACACAATCTGCTGCCCTGAACAGTCAGAAATTAAGTATACTTGAATGCCATCCATCTATCTTGTGAACTCTCAGTCCCAGTTATAAATACAAACCACTCCATCCAATGTGACATATAAGTTTGTACTACATGAGTGAAAACAACACAGGAAGCCAAGAGTAAACCCTGGATGACATCAAGATAAACAGGCGGCACAAAATCTGCCCCTTACAAGAAGGACAATAGGAGTATGGACACGAACCTACGTGGTTAAAAAAAAAAATTTAGCTAGTGACAAAGGTTTTTTAAATTAACATCTAGAAACTTTAAAAACTTTACAATACCAGGAAGCTGCTGTGATTGTGAAATGTTCGACTTTATGAGTACCGTGCATTATAGAATATAAGTGTATATATTTTAAATCAAAAACACCTATTGTGATGGTAGTTTCCAGTTCATAATGATATTCCCTCTGAAGATGGTCCGTACAGACCGAAACATGTAAGGGAGATAAGTTTTCATGTAGTAGAAACATATATGTAACACTGGACGGAGTGGTTTGTATTTATAATTGTTAGTGTGACGGACCAGAATGAAACAAATAAAAAAAAAATTCTCAGTCCCAGTTTTGGTTTGAAAATGTCATCCCTACCTACTTTGGCATTGAAATCTCCAAACAGGATATTCATATGGTATAGTATTCCACATCCTGCAGTCATTTTGACTAACTTTGGATTCATGGAATGCAATGTAATGTAATATAATATTGAATACACATTCTAATTCTTTGTAGAACCTATGCTTTAAATCATCAGTTTTATCCTCTGTTGGGGCATGAACATTCAGAACAATGATATCACACCAGAGACCTCTTCATATTATATATGACATCCTATTACTAGCAAACTCTAGCCTCTTAACTGCTAATGTGATTCTCTTTTATATGAAAAATGATTCTCATTTCCATAGAAGAATGTATTTTCGCCTGCTGGTTTAGTGCCACCTCTGTCCTGCCCGACCTTCCGTACTCCAACTAAATCTAACTTATATTTTGATATTTCTTTCATAACTGTCTTGAGTGAACCTGCCCTATACAGACTTCTTACATTCCATGTACCAATTCTCATGTCCATTTTCTTCAGTTTAGATCATCATTAATCCAAAGAATCCATTCAGATCTCAGGCCCTTTGCGACATTTCATAACATGCTTGCTTTTTATGGTGGGGAATTGTGAGCCCCACGCCCAACCCCCCTCTGGAGGACCACCCCTTGTCAGCTCTCTGTGACTGCTTATTGAAGATATTCGCAGCTACCCTCAATATCTGGCATGCAGTAGCATAGTTGCTACAAGCCAGAAGGTTGTGGGATCGAATCCTGATTAGGTCATTGAATTTTTCATTTGACCTAATCCTTCCAGCCACTCTATGCTCCTGGGGTCTACTCAGCCTCTAACAGAAATGAGTACCAGGAATCTTCCTGGGGGTAAAGGGCAGCCAGGGCTTAAGGCTGGCAACCTTACTGCCATTTCTGAGCCAATTGTCTAGAAAATGTGAGAGCCTTGACCTTTCACAACCCTATGGGCCTTCACAGCCTGTTACAGGGACAGCTACCCTCCATATCTGGGGGCCATCTCCTTCGTCCACAACCTGAGGACTTACCATACCTTGGTGATAAGGGATTCACCTAACATGGAACTTAGCTTTACTATAAATATGATTTTGAACTTTTAGCCACACATCAAAATTTCTGCCTTGCAGTCTGTGCAGCATTAATAATGCATATGTTGGCTAGCTGGCAAATGACTTTACATTCATGAATGGAGTATCTGTGTGAGGAAAGGACTGTTTTCAAGTATGTTAAGGGTCCATTTTAGAAATGATCATTTCCATAATTAGCATTTTAATTGCTGTTATGTAAGTAATGCATTGTTAATTACATACAGAAGTCTATGTTTTTATGACATTTTGGATTTACATGTTGTTATGCAGAAATGCAAACATTCCAAAACTGGTAGGAAGAAGGTTCCTCTTGAAGTTACCACATTCCCTGCACTAAAGAACAACCATTAATTTGCTATGCATTTTATGGTATCCTTTTAATGAAAATAAAAAATTATACCAACCATGTGAAACGTGTAAACTGTATTCTGGTTTGTTGACAGTTACTGATGAATCACTGTAACTTTATTTGTGCATTCTGTATGATTTCATGTTACAGATATACAGGTCTATAAGAATAGTATTGCAGCATTGAAATATAAATGTTCATGTAAATGGAAAATTATTATAATTATGATTTCTTTACAGTTTGTATTTAAACAGTTTGTCTGAACCAGTCAGCACCCTAAAGGGAATTTAAGTGATCTTCCATCATGGAAAGGTCGCCAGTTTCAGATCTGTCCACTAAGAAATTAAAGTCACTTGACCCTTTTTCTGTCATTCTGAAACAGTCATTGTGTTATGAAATGGATTATCTCTTTTATATATATGTGTATATATATATATATATATATATATATACACACACACATATATATATTGATAATTAATTGGAAGGAATAGGGATTCAGTAGTAA